CCTCCTCCACAGCTGTTTAATGCCATACACTTTCACCACCCTCTCCCACCCAGCTATCAATGCCAGAACCTTCTGAATCATCCTGTTACCTCCCTATGAGCCATGTCCAAATAATTACCACCTTCTTCCTGATTAGAGCACCCTCTCAGCTTCAGCCTCCCTCTGCCATTAAATATTATCCAGTGTTTCCCTGGGTGACTGCAAAAGTGTCAGCTGCCAGGTTTGCTCAGCCCCCGTCCCAATCCAGGGTGGCACCTATGCTGGTGGCTCAGGGTGGAGCCTGTGCCAGCACTTGTGCCCACCTGCAGGGGCTGAAGCCTTGTGCACTGGTCTGAGGTCTAAGTAGGATGTCTGTTCTAAACGGCACATCTAGAAGGAAAAAGCCCTTTCTGGTTTCTCCAGACACACTGAACCTGCCCTCCAAACTATTCTCTAAACAGCAGTGATGGTGATCATTTTAAACACTCAAATCACATCATGTCTCATCCCTGGTTACATTTCCCTCGTGTCTTAGCCCATCTTCCTGGAAACTTGGCCCCTAGTTCCCCTGGTTACTTTTTACTTACAGGTGAAATGCCATTTTAGGGAGGACATCCCTGAGCAATCCTTCTCCCCTAGACAAAGTTAGGCACCCAGGTCTTGTCCTCTGAACAGTCTGCACTTTTTTGCACCATCACTGAGGACTATCACAGCTGTGTGCCTGCCTGTCCTCTCCTCTACCCACCAGCCCAGAGGACACACCTAAGCCATGATGCTCTATCTCGCTCATGGCTGTGGCCCGACAGCCAATGATGCCCACCATCCAACAGCTGCTCAATAAACAGCTGTTCAGTGAAGGCCTGGATCAATAAGCGGTGAAGAATCCGGGACCCCAAGGCACAGTGGGACTACTTGGCAGAGGTAGAAAAATAAATCATGGGAGGAGTTCTTAGTAACTCTCTGACAGTGATTATATGCAGAATCCTGAATGCAAGCAGACGTATGACTGATGAATCAGAAACTCCAGGTTGTAGCAGTGACGTTTCATTTCTTGGTCTGCATCTGTTATTTGTTGTGACAAGGAGCTTTATCAGGCCAGGTACAGAGAGAACAATCTGTGCAGTCACATATGGCCCCTCTCTTGGCTTCATGCACTGTGGTTGTCATCTTGCAAGTCTTACCTTTATTTATTGTTTATTTTGTGCTACTGGAGACTGAACACAGGGCCTCTCCCATGGCAGGCAAGTGGTCTGTTACTAAGCTATACTGCCAGCCCTTACTTTTGAATTTTGAGAGAAAGTTTTGCTAAGTTGCCCAGGTTGGCCTCCAGCTCAGGCTGCTCAGCCTCTCAAGTAGCTGGAATGACAGGCACAAACCACTGTACTGGTCCTGAAAACCTTAATCTTTTAGCAAAAAGCCTTATGCATTATGTAGCCTGTCAAGAGTTTTACAAGTTAGTTAGATTTCTGGAAGGAGCCAGTGGATAGCCAATTCCCAAATAAGAACGGATTTTTCAAATCTTGGGCTGTGTTTTTCCCTTCCTGATTTTTTTCAGGGTTAACAAGGTTAAATTCCCAGAACATTTTTCTTTTCATAGGAACTATATCATATATCATGTGCAGCTCCGTTTTTGCAAAACAGGGATTTCTCATACCATCTAAACTTGAGGCAGCTTTAGGTTTTACTGCTAGCTAAAAAAAAAAAAAAAAAAAAAAAAAAAGCTTAATGTTTTTAAAAATTGAATTTTCCTCTGAAGATATATTCACACTGAGTCTCAGTATTAGAATTTTTGCTTAGCTTTGTTTGGAGTTTTAACATTGCAGATTGCTTTGGTTTCCCTAAATCAGTAAGCATGGTCAATCAGTATGTCATCACTTTAAAAAAAAAAAAAAGATACTGATTATATTTTAAAAAAAGAAAAGAAGTATAGAATTCCTTGTTAGTTTCCAACATTTCAAATCTTATGCTATTTAACAAATTCATTGAACATGTCAAATTTCTTCAGGGTTAAAACTTGGCAGGACCCATGGGCTGTGCATGGTTTGATCATCTTTAGGATAAAATTGTTTTAAAATGTCAGATGTTTAAATTTACAATTAGTTTTCTAGTCACTGCAAGTCTGACAGTCCCTGAATTTAGTGTGTGGTTGATCTTACAAACGTCTGGCCTGGGGGCTGGAGGTTTAGCTCAGCGGCATAAGCGCCTGGCTTGCAAGCAGGCAGCCATGAGTTCGATCCCTGGTACCGATAAAAAGGAAAAAGACAAAAAAAAAAAAAAAGTGTCACAAACGTCTGGCCTATTTTTCCTTGAGTAGGGATGACTTTGTTCCCCAAGAAACACTTGGCAATGTCTGGAGACATCTGGGGCAATAATAACTGGAGGGAGCATGGTATTGGCATCTTGGGGTGCAGGCTGAGGACGATGCTTTGCAGGACAATTCCTTGTCACCAAAAATCATCTGTCTAGCCAAAAACGTCCCAACTGCCAAGGCTGAGAAATACTGATCTAAAACTATGCAGTATCTACAGCAAGGAAATGGGCCCACCCTCAGCCACACCTCCAGTGTCAAAGCCACGACAGAACCCAAAGAATATGCACGCCTGACTTCCCTGAGCAGTAATCTGAGGACCCCCTCTACCCCGCCTTTGTTTGGTGGCATAGGCAAAAACCAGGGCCTGTACCCCAGGCTACATCCCCAGCCCTTTTTCATTACTTTTATTTTGAGACAGGGTTGAAGACTAAGCCTTATCCTAGGTGAGACTGAATCACTAAATTGCCCAGGCTGGGCTCAAACTTGGAATCCTCTTGCCTCTGCCTTCCAGAGCACTGAGATTATAGGCATGGACCATCCCGGTCAGCTAGGAACTTTCTTTTTAACATAGGAAGTTAGGCTGGGGATATACCTCAGCGGCATAAGCGACTGCCTGGCAAGCACAAGGTTGTGAGTTCGATTCTCAGTACCAAAGAAAAAAAGAGAGGTATCTGCCACCTTGACCTGAAACCATGAGCACATTTCTCATTACAATGAATATTCAAATAATGACATAGTCCTCAGTTGTCCCCGTAGACTACATTGCTTAATATACCTACACCCTTCATAGAAAGCAGCATTTGACAATCAAAAGAGGTCATTTCCAGCAGCACTAATTTGCCTCCTACCTCATTTCATGAAAAATATACAGTATTTACATCATAGCTCAGAATTTTCCATTCACTTGAAAACATACTTATATGCAGTTTATAAGGCAGAGATTAGGAAATGGATGATGCATGAATCAAACTTGATTCCTTGTCTTAAAAATGGAAAAAAATTCAATATTTTAAATCATGTTTTATATTTTAAAAAATAAAGATTCTGGGTTACTTTTTTGGGAGAAAAAATTAAAAGAGGACCTCACTGTATGAGGACAGAGTTCCTGCAGGATTACTGGATAGGTGTACCTAATCCCCATTCAGGTTTATAGGTCGGCTGGCCCTAACCAGTGCTTTTATATCTTGTATATTACCTGTCCTGTCCTTGGAGATGGGAGATTTTATGATCTCAGTTTCAAGAAAGTTTTTTCATTGTTTGTTGATGGTAGTGGAGTTCGCTGTTTGTTTTGGTGGGCTGGTGACCTAAGCTATATCCTTAAACACTGACAAGTGCTCTGCCACTGAAGTACATCAGGGCCCCGGGGAACACACTTTTCTAACTGTTAAGCAACCAGTTTACAAATGAAAGAGTAGACAGAACAGCATTAGATATTATGCTGTTAGAAAGAATGGGTGTTTACAGGTAATTAGTTACAGATGAGCTGTAATAATGAAGGCTGGAATTCTATACAGATCTGGGGCAGAGGTCAGGTTGAAGAAGAGGCAGGCGACCTTTCACATCCTCACCATACGGGATGAGGGATCATCCTAAACCTGCTTCATCTACTGCAAGCAAAACACTTTTTTAAAAGTTCATGATATGGTACACCGCAGTTCAAAATTGGGGAGCTGGCCATGTCTACGAAAGCAAGATTTCCCAAAATGATCACTTGGAAGGAAAGAAAGAAGGAAGAAAGGGGAGAGAGATGGAGAGAGATGGAGAGAGATGGAGAGAGAGAGAGAGAGAGAGAGAGAGAGAGAGAGAGAGAGAGAGAGAAAGCAAAGGAAAAGTAAAGCGGATACCCATACATTGAGTTTTCCTCCTTGCCAGAGCTGAAATCTGTTACCAAATCCCCCTGCAGGGATGGCCTGCCTGTAACTGCCTAAGCTCCAAGCAGGTAATTTACACTGATCTTTAAAAACCATTAACCCTTTTCTCACTTCTATAAAAACAAACCTTTCTTTCAGAAGAGTTCTAAACGGGGCATAAGGGGCGTGCTAGAGGACAACCTGAGGGGTCTCCCCTATGCCTCCGGCACCCACTTCAGGCCCCACAAAGCCTTGCCCACCAGGTCACCTCAGCGCACCCGTTTCCTCTAAAAATCACGCGTCCTTCGATTTGCTGCCTGTCCCATTATTTACATAAAGATGACTCCGTTCTCCGTCAAAAGCAGCAAGGCAGGGGCCGCCCGCCCGCGCATGCAGAGCCCACCTGCACCGGCGACTTCGGGGGCACCGCGCACGCGGCCGAGGAGATCCGCGCGCTTCCGTAACAGACCCCGCAGCGCCGGCCCTCGGCCCTGGCCCGGGCTGGGCTGGCATCTCGGGGCGTACGGCGACATTGGGGCAGCGACGCCGCTTCCCGGCCAGGCTTAGGATGGAACGGGGTTAAAGAAAGTCTCCGGCACCCCAGCCGCCCGCTGAGCACCGGCTCGATCCCCGTCTCCCCCGGCCGCGACCCACCCCGGGGTCGCCCAGCTCCCTCCGCGGATCGGTCGGGAAGCAGAAAGCGACTTCCAGGCGGCGCGGGCACCGCGTCCCCGCCCGGAGCGCCCACCAAGGGAATCGTCGCGGGAGGGCGCCGCCCCACGCGCCGCCCGGGCTGCTCCCAACCGCCCGGAGCCCGGCGCTCCATCCCTCCCCGCCGCCGGCCGGCCAGAGCCGCCTACCTGCGCGGACGCGCCCTGCCCCGCCGCGGCTCCGGCCCGGCGCGCAGGACTCCACGCTCGCAGTGCTCGCCGCGCTCGCCCGCGCCTCCACCTCCCCGCCCGGCCCCGCCCACCTGGCCCCGCCCACCTGGCCCGGCCGCCCCGCCCACCTGGCCCACCTGCGTGGCGGGAGAGGTCTGAGCGCCCTCGGAGCCTTCTTTCCACTTTCTTCCTCCTGGGGTCTGGGTCTGTGAACTTTGTCAGGACTAGGTACGCGAGTGGGGTTTTCTAAAAAATGCGCGTCCTTCCTGGCAGGCAAAAAGCGAGAAAAGTGCTGCTCCTCTGACTTACAAAATAGAAATACGTTTTATAACAAGGCAGAAATGCTATTCCCAGCCACCCCCAGTATGGGGGATGCAACCCGGGGCTGCTTTACCGCCGAGCAATGCCATCAGACCTTTTTTTCTTTTTTTCTCTCTTGGGCAGTGTCTCCTTAAATTTGTCACACAGCTAATCTTGAACTTGCACTTGACAGCCTTGGGCTCTTGAATCAGGCAGATTGCGAGTGTCCCACTGCACCCGGCTTCCAGCATTGTCTGTGTAGCACGTGCAGTTTGGCCGTAACCGTGTCGCCTGTGCTGCGTTCCAAAGGAACCTTTACTAGACTTAGGGTTTAGAAGTTCCCGGGTGGGTGCTCACAGCGTGGCGGAGCAGCACAGCTTTAGCGTGTGTCAGTCCCAGGCCTTAAAACCCAGCTCAGGAAGAACAACAACAACAAAAAAAATCAACAACAAAAAAGCCCGCATCACATTCATATTTCTATTTCACACATAAAAAGTAAGAGCCACTAAATGACGAAGAACCCACAGTGCCTCAGGACCTCTCCCATCCTTACAGCACTGGGCTTTGCCTAATCACAAAAGTTAAGACTGCGTTCCTTGCAGAAAGAGGGATACTGTGTCTGCGTCTCCCACTGGATTTCTGGCTCCTCAAAAGTAGGACAGGGCTGAATCCATCTTCGTGTCATTTACAATCCACCTGCATGTCAGTGCACAATTCTTCATGCATTGGGGAAGCCAAGGACGCTTCTGCACAGGGTCATGCCTAACCAGTGTCCCGTTAGGGGAGGCTGACAGCGTGTGACTCCGGTTTCACCGTAAAGGGGATGCTCTGCTTGCTGTCCACCGTCCCAGCAAGGGGTGGGGGCGTCGCCAGGGACAACCCTGAAGAAGGCGGAGTCCCTGGGGCCGGTGCTCCGGAACTTTAGACCTAAAGAGATCCGATGTCCGGGTGATGCCTGCTAAGACCTCACACGAGGCCGCCTAGGCGGAGGCCAGCAGTGCCCCCTACCGGACTTACAGACTAGTTGTACCAGGCTGCTCTCCGTGAACCCCATGGGTACTTTCTGTGAACCAGAGCGTTTCACCGCATGCCAGAACTGGGAAAAGCAGCGCCACCCAGGCCACCAGCAGGGACGACAGCAGAGAGGTTCCTGTTAGTGGCTATATTAGAACATCTTGTCTTCATTCTGTGTAGGGATTTTCTCATAATGTGTCATGTGCAAGTTCTAGAACAAGGGTAGTGGGTAAGCACTTTTTGATCTGTGGTTTGTATTTTTATCATGGAAACGTATGAACTGGAAATACCTTCTGCAAAATACGATGAATTTGCATTTTGGTCCAGTGTAGAAAGTAAAAGCATTTGTTTTCATCTAGGCATTAGCTACATGAATGTATTCACCAAAGGAGAAAACATTTTTACATTCCCTGAGTAAAACGAGGCAAAAGCAAGTATGCTGTGAAATTCTAACAATGCCTTGGGAAATTAAGTTGATAAATCTTAGGAAAAGCCTATCATGTTTTACAAGAATAAACAGTATTTCCTCCGTTTTTACTTGGCTAGCTTTTTCTTCCTGGGCTTCCATCAAACGTATTTTGAGTGTGTTTCAGATCAATTTATAAAATGTTTATAAGGACTATTGCTGCTTGTTGTAGTCAGGGGTTTGCAAGGAAAATGATTACATAGAGGACACGTAATTTACAGTATTATAATGGTCACCCAAGGGTTAAATACAAGAAGTGCAGAAAATCTGTCTACACACGAAAGACCTAGACAATTCAACCAATGGCCTGGATCCCACAGCAATGTCTTGCATGAGTCTATGTGAAACCCTACAGCCCATGACAGTGCCCCCCCCCCCCGGTCCAGCTGGTGGCTCAGAGCCCTCAGCAATAACTCATGCAAGTCTGTTTCACTAATCTGTGCTGGGAAGGCCTAAAGGTCAGCGATGGAGGTAGAAAAGCTATGCCAGTGGGATGAAGGATCTGTGCCTGCAGACTGAGGGCTCTGCACTGGAGCCAAGAAGCGACACTCAAAATAAGGACCAGGGCTCCTCCAAAAAACATCACAGCCATCCTCAGTGACAATGAGGTACCGAGCTCCTCTGACAATGAAAACAGCTGAGTTCATATCAGGAAGCCAGTGTAACAAGCTTTTCCTGGAGATTGAACAGAACATATCTTCCCCCTCCAGAGCCAGGAAGTGATGCTCAGAGTAAAGACTAGAGCTCCCCCAAAGTGAACCGCAGCCATTCTCAGCATCAAGGTGCCAAGTTCCTCTGATAACAGCCGAGCTCATATCAGGGAAGCCAGCATGACAAACTCCTCTAGGAGAATCAACAGCTCCAAAAGAACAGCAGCTCCAAACAACAACATGGCTTAGGAAACACACAGTGTTAGTCTTCTTCTCTACTTCTCCTTTTTATGCTGGCAAGTGTCCTCAGGTGAGTCATCTACACTCAGCACCATGCTGATTCAGCTGAGCAGGTGTTTAAGTTGACCAGCATTCAATCTGCCACACTGCTGTCAGTGTCACTGGGGTGGGGGGCAATGCCAGGGCCTCACACATGCTAGGCAAATGTTCTACCGCTCTGCTCCATTCTGCTAACAACACACATTTTACTCTCAGAAAAGGCAGTTAAAATTATTATTGGTATAATAGCTAGAACTCTACATGAATGCGGAGAAAGCAGTGCTAATTGTGGTTCTTAGCAGTTTATATCATATTATACTTCATTTACATTTGAGCACGAATGGACCTAGCTAACTCAAATGTCTGTTATTTTGGTATGAAAAATCATTGCAAATCCAAGCCATGGAGTTATAGATTCGCTTTTACAATATGTCCTGTCTGCTGGCTACCACCTGCATGCCATCAAAGCAATCTTTTTTTGAAGTATGGCAATAATATAACAGCATAATTCTACCCGAGTGGCTTAGAAGAGCTGTCTGGGTGGTGTAGGGTTCCGTAAGTCAGAGTCCCATGAGGAAACAGACATCACAGTGATCATTTTTACAAAGAATTTAAGGAACTGCTGAAATGGTAATGGAAGACTGGAAAGGCAACCAGAGAGGCAGCTGCCACTCATCTGGGGGAAGGACGTCCTGGGGAGCCTCAGAGCTAGGTGACAGCCTCTTGGGGAGACACAGACCCTGAGGAGAGAGGGGTCCTTGGCTGGTGCCATTGTTTCTGAAAGTAAAAATTGAGGGTTGGTTAAACCCTAGAAACTGGAACCAGCTGCCACAGCCAGAAACAACACCGCTGGGAAACGTGACAGGAAGCCACAGCAAGGGTGAAGCAGCAGGCTGGAGTAGTCCCTGCTCCGCCTCCAGCCTGCTGCTCTCCTCCAGCGCCTCTCTGTTGCCAAAACCTTACAGGAAATGTGGTTTGCTGAGTCCCAACCCCAGGTATCAAGGTACAGAATGGAAAGATAAGCGGTGAGACCAATGGTAATAACCGGCACGGAAAGCAAACTCATGCGTAAGAACTCGACTGTCTCCATAGTAATGTAGGGGACGCCTGATAGAGAGTTGTCGCAGTGACACATTTACCTTACCTTTAACATTTTGTAATCGTAGCAGGACTGTGGTTATGAGCACACTCAAATAAGGGGCAATGTTGAACTTGACCCTACCTTTGTTATCTGGAAAACAGTGTAGATTAAAGAGCTCCCTTGTCCGTTTCATTTTCTGGGTAACTACGTAGCACTAATGTAGAACCACATTTCCTGAAGCAACTTAGATAAGACCTGCAGATAACTAACTTCTTCGATTATGGGTGACAAGGTCATAAACCTACAGACCTTCCTGCATTTCGTTCTCTGCTCCTAAATGGTGACCTGAGCCCTTGGTCCCCACTGACCCCTCTGTTCAAAGTGCTTTCTTGGACCAACCTTTGGTCAGCTTTGTCTCCCTCTCCAAATTTGGCCTTTGGCTTTTGACCCACTGGTAACCTAAAGGAGTATCAAGATCCCCTCCTTTTCCAGCTGACCACAGGAACGCCTCTCCTTATCTTTTGTCCACCTTTCCATCCCACTCCCTGGTACTCACTCCTTATAACATTATTTACCTTCCCCACCCTCCTCCTCCCCAAAGAGTCATATAGTTAAAGCCTTTTCCCTGCAAGAGCACACTCCCTTCCTTTATGCCAGGAATCCTTCTGAGAAAAGGGTCTCCTTACCTGAGTGTGGGCCGATTGGGTGGTTTTTATGCACTCTAATGTAACTCAAGATGGGATCCTCCCTCTGCCACTGCCAAAGCTGCCCAGGGACGGCACTCAGCCCCACTGAGGAGAAAGTTCTGCGGGCAGCATCTGGAGCATCCTTAGGCCGCAGTTTTTGGACCAGTGCTCCAGACATCTGTTGAAGCATAGTAAGGACTTAACCTGCTCCTTCAGGCGAAGAGATAGATGCTTTCTTTGGCCTCCTGTGAATTTGTCCTTATTGTGGTGCTTTGATTTTTTTGTTTTTTACTTAGCTCCCAAGGGATTTTGCAAAGGAATTAATGAAATGGTACTTTCTCACAGTTCTCCAGTATTTTTGTCCTTTTGGATTGTGTAGGGGTAGTCTTACAGGCACCTTCGTGCCCTTGTCCTAATTTAGTTCGATAGCTTCAAACGTGGTAGAAAGTAGCTGAGTGCAGCTACCCCAAGTCCTCAGGAGTCTAAGGTAGGAGGTCCATGACTTCAAGGATAGCCTCGGTGACAAAGACACTCTGCTTCATTAAAAAAAAAAAAAAAAAATTAAACAAATACACAAAGAAATGGCAGAAGTTTATGAATGGCCTTTTCTAAGAAGTCCTCTTGGAGACTTGGGATCCCCCGAACTGGTTCATAAGGATCTCTCCCTCCATTTCCGTTCTCTTTCTCTTTACCACCTCTACCTTCCTCATCCGCCTTGAATGCTCCCATCTGGCCCGCTTCACCCTGCCTCCTCCATGCTTGGTCTACCCTGCCGGGCCTTACCTGATCCGTGTAGCCTCTCAACTTGAGGTCACTAAGGGGTTGATCCCTGCTCACCCCGTTCGCAGTTCCAATCACCTCCTCTCCATCCACCCCCACCTCACTGGTGAAAGAACAGTATTGGGGACCATTGGGCCCCTGTGGGAATCAAAGCTACAGAGGCAGCCCGTGACTTTTCTGGCCTTAAAATAATACATTGTCCACCAACCCTGGATTTTGAGGGGTTTAGGAACCCCACCAACTGAAAAAAGTAGTTGGAAGCAGGCTGGATATTTTATCCACTCAGGTGCTCTGGAGACACACAGAGGTCGCTTGCTCCTCCCTCAGCCCTTTGCCAAAGTTCAATCCACAGTCTCAGTAAGATTATGCATCAGAGAAAAGAAATTCTAGGGCCTCTTCCATGAAGATTCCTTCGTGAAGGTGGAGTTACCTAATCTTTATCTTGAGCAATTTACTACTGCTGGGAGCACAATCTTAGTAAGAATATAGAAGTGGGGAAACAATGAGAGCTGGCTCTTTTACATTTCATTAAATAGAAATTTTAAAAATCGAAGTTATATGTTTTATTTGTGTCTTCTTTTATGTTTATATATCTACATGTGTATATGTTGGATTTTCCTGCCTCTAAAATGTTACCGAATTAGATAACAAATCTTGTAAAAGTCTTCAATTCTGACTGGCTTAGGGAAAAATAAATGCTTAGATAAATTAAATATTCCTAAAGCTAGAGATTAAAGAAGTCAAATTTCTGGGGCTGGGGATTTAGCTCAGCAGCATAAGCACCTGCCTTGCAAGCAGGTGGTTGTGAGTTCAATCCCCGTTACCAATAAAAAAAAAAAAAAAAAGTCAAACTTCTAACATTTTCAGAGATACTTTTTTCAAATGATTCAAAAATTTTTTTAAAAATTAAAGCTCACATACTTTGACTAAATATTTGATAAGTCAGACTAGCTTAATATTGTGGACTTAATAAGAGTCACCAGTGTTAAGTATCACACAAGCATTTATTTTAGTTTGTGTACGTTCTTCCTAAACTTTACCGACAAATGAGATAGCATAACATCTGTTTACCTAAATGAAGATGAAATGCTGGGGATATAGCCCAGTGGTAGAGCACTTGTTTATTGTACCCAGGGACCTAGATTACATCCTTAGGACAAATAAATAAATAGATTATTAAAGTACGTTTGTGTTTAAACAAATGAATTACTACAGTGATAAACTTTGGTTCAAGAATAATTGTGTCTTGTAATGCATCAATTTGAAGATAGCTTTCAAAGTCATTTAGTTAAAACTTTAGCCTTAGAGTTAGATTACATTAATTTGATTAGTGAATGGTCATTAAATACTTAGATCACTTCTAGGAAAGATGGAGTAATGGAGCATAACTTTAAACTTGTATAAATTTTAAATTGTTAGCACCCTATTTTTTGGTATGGGGAGGTAAAATATGTTTTTGTGTGTTAATGATGTATTCATTTTTGGGTTTCTCTCTCTCTCTCTCTTTTTTTATCAGTACCAGGGATCGAACTCACAACTGCATGCTTGCAAGGCAGGCACTTATGCTGCTGAGCTAAATCCCCAGCCCTGATATATTCATTTTTGGTACATTGAAAAGTTGCACTATAAAAAAGTGTGGCTATAAAGTCATGAGATGCATACTCAGTCTAGGTTAGTCTCTTAATATGCTAATGTGTAACAGATAGTTAATAATTATCTGTACTTACAGATTTCTCTATGGGTACATAATTTGCTGGGACAACCTTGACAAAGTACCATAGATCAAATCAAAACAGAAATTTATTTTCTTACAATTTTTGAGGCCGGAAGTACAAGATCAAAGATTCAGAAAAGTGCATTTCTTAGGAAGGCCCTCTTCTAAGATGTAAAAATGTTTCCTTACATCTCTCTTTTTGCTAATAAAAACAAATTAAAAGTAGTACCTAAATGTATAAACAAATTGTAGCCTACCCATACAATGGAATGATTTTTACAGGGGGAAAAGGATTAACAATCAACATGGATGAATCTCACCGACCTTATGCTGGAATAAAGATGCCCAATACAAAGGAATACATATTTCATATTTAGGCATTTGAAGTCTGGAGCAGGCAGATCTAATCTGAGGCCAGAGAAGGGACAGAGCCTTTGCTTGGAGTTGAGCATCAGGAGGGGAGAGGCCTTACCTTGTGGAACAATAAAACTGTTCCTTAGCTTGATTGTGGTAGTGATTACATTTGTCAGAATACTTTGAGCTGAACGGGTATTATTTTATTGTATTTTAACTCTTTTTTTCCCTCTGCCCCTCCCCCCCCAAAGGGCAAAGGACCTTCCTTCCAGCTTCTGGACAGCTCCTGGGACACCCCACCCCACGCAGTTCCCGTCTGGAAGCATGTGGGAAGGTGTGGCTTGTATATCACGATACTGGATGCCCTCTTGGAGAGTGAGAGTTCACAGGGGAAGAGACTGGACTGATCTGTCCTGCAGAGGAAGGGGATGGGTAAGGGGGCTGGAGTACAGGATACCACCCAGCAGGGAGAGGGGGTCCACCGATGAAAGGGTACAGAGGCACCTGCTCACGGAGGTTTTTAAGTTGAGCATGAGTACTGCCATGCTGAATGAACACGAATTCCAGATATACACTTTGCTTAATAAGCTTCCTCAATATTGTAAAAGGTACATGAAGAATGGCAGCGGCCCCCTCTGGTGGTAACGTGCAAAACCAAACCAGTCAAGAAAGGGTGATGTTAGAAAGAAAGGTATCTGGGATGTTTATTCTGAGCTGTGTCTTCAGCCTTGTTTGTTATTTTGAGACAAGCTCTCACTAAGCCAATGTTGCCCAGGTTGCGCTTAGACTGTCTGTCCTCCTGCCTCAGCCTGCCAGAGTGTTGGCAATTAGATACTGAAAAAAGAGTTCGGCAAAACCTGCCTAGTGTATCTTGTCTTTACTTTGCTTTTCATCAGTTGACAAGTTTTGGAAATCACTCCATGTCCATCTATGTGAAACCACTGTGTTTTAGTCAATATCTGCACAGCAGGCAGGACATCTCATGACATTAAATGGATCTCTAATTCAGGTTTTTCTATACAATGTGGCTACAAATATCTTCACATATATGTGTGTAGAACCAGAAATTTAAAGGTTAAAAACAAGATGCTGTTTCTCAGCTAGAAACAGCACTGGGCCTCGTGACTCAGTCCTAACTCAGCCCTGCAAAAATAAAAACAACCTCTGTGGCTGTGATATGCTGGGGATGTGCTGTGCCAGGGAACTCAAGAGATAGAGCCTGCCATTATGCTAATCAGGGTTGTAAAATATGTCAGACTCAAGTCTACAGAAACCAGGTGTCTTAAAGACAAGTTGTGCAGAACAAAGACAGTTAATTAACTCTGACCTGCTGGTCACCCCTTATGAATTGACCAATAGCAGATAGATAAGATGCCCACCACTCCGCACTAACTATAATGATTGGCTTCTGTAATAAATGCTTACATTGCAGTTTTTCCCCCTTAAAAACACCAGCCCTGCCCCAACTCAGGGTTCTCTGTTTCCACCTGTTTGGAGGACCCCGTGTACACGGAATAATAAAAACCCCTTTGTTTTTACATGAGAGCGAGGCCCTTGGAGTCTTCCTTGCGACACCGGTCTAACATGTGAAACCTGTAAGTGGAAGAAAGTGCCAGAAGTTCTCCTGTGCATCAACTCAGAGGGCATCTCCCACTGGTTTGCCCTGCATGTGGTTCCCTTCAAGATTTTGAATGATTGGCCTAGGGGGCTGTCCCACTCAAGAAGGAAGGAAGTGCCTTAACCTGGGTAAAACCAATGAAAATTAACATCCCCACAACTGCTGTGGAGCTAAAGATTCCACCATAAAACCCTCTTTCTCCTCCCTTACACGGTGTACGTGCTCTGGACACCCAGGCTTATTCCTGGACCATCACTGTTAGGCTGAGTTGCAGGGCGGTTTCCAGGGGTAAATTTCCCAGGTGAACCCTAAACTTCCAGGCCTTAAGCTTCATGATAATCATTCACATCTCCCACATAGACTCTGTACCAGCTCCCACTCTCACCAACAACAGGTGAGCTGCCTATTTCCCCGCACACTCTCCCACAGACCAAACATCAGCTCTTTGGGGAAGGATTGCACCCAGGGCCTTCAGCTGAGCTGTATCCCCGACCCTTGTAAACTTTTTCATTATTATTTTGAGATGGGTTCTCATTACCTTGTTGTCCAGGCTGAGCTCAAATCCTCCTGCCTCAGGTTCTCAGAGTGCTGGGATTACAGACCTGTGCCACCGTGCCTGATAACTTTCTGCTGTTGTTTTAGGATGGAGAAGGAACTCATGGACTCACAAATGCTAGACAATGCTCTATCACTGAACTATAACTCCAGCTGTCTTTGTCAGTTGTATTAGGCTTAACTATGAAATACTGGGGTTTAAATTTTATTTTCATGTATAAGGTGCCACATTTTCAGGCAGTGATACTAATTATGTATGTGTCACCCTTCAGGGGACATTTGATCCTCGTCTAAGGCCCCAGTTCTCTTTTCGTTTATACCAGTCTTTTGTTCTTTTATTGAATCTTCCCTATGAGCACACACTAATGTTATTTCTCCCATTTTGAAAAGTCCACACCAGCTAGGGCTGGTAGCTTGTACCTGTCTGTAGTCCCACTTACTCAGGAAACTGAGGAGGAAGGATCTCTTGGTCCTAGAAATTTGAGACCAGCCTGGGCCACATAGTGAGACCTCACCTCAACCAAAAAACAAAGAAACCCTTTCTTGAGCCCTACCATCTTACCTACTTCTCTCTCTCTCTCTCTCTCTCTTTCTGTGTGTGTGTGTGTGTGTGTGTGTGTGTGTGTGTGTGTATGTGTGTGTGTGTTTTATAGGGGCATTTTGCTGGAGAGAGCCAGCCAGTTAAGTATTTTAAGCACAATTGTGGTCATAATTACTTTGTCCCTCTGGGATGACAGTAGCCATAGACCACTCAGAGCCATCACAACTCAGGGCGATGGGAGTGGTCATAGTTTGCAAAATATACTGATTTACGCTTTCAGAACTCTGACTGCAGACCCCCTGGCTATGGTCCATGGGGAAGGAGCTGCAGTTGTAGCCATTTCCTAGGGATGTAGCTGGGGTCTCTGGAGCAGCACAGAGGAGCTCAAGAGGGTATAAGCCACCTGTTAGTACAGCAAAGAAAAGTTCTGCAAGAGTCTGATTGATCTTTGTCAAAAGAGTGGTCCACAAGTGTTGTCTTCAAACTGCTAAACCCTCTCTAATGAGGTGCTGAACCTGGGGCCTTTCTGGAATCTGCTTCCATCAAATTCAGCTGCACATCACGAAACCCAGGAGGCACTGTCCGAACTTGGCCTACTTGGTGTCACAGCACCATTTCAGATGAATACTCTTGACTTGAACCCCTTCCCTGGGGGGCTCTGAACTTCCATGGCTTTCCTCCTGTTGCTCTTTGTAAGCCTGCTGATTCCTCTCTACTCCCTGAAGGCCTTTCAACAGGGCAGAGACCCAAGCCTCCGTCTCAGGTCTCTGCTTTGTACTCTTCTCTCCTGTGAGTCATCTGTAGTTCAGCTTTCTGTCACCACGATAAAATATCTAATCAACTTAGAGAAGGAAACCTTTATTTTGAGTCAAGGTTTCAGCTCATGGTCAGAGGACACCATTGCTTTAGGTTGGGCAAGGTGGAAACACAATGGAATGGTGTTGTGGAGGAAAACTGCTCACCTCACAGGAGCCAGGAAGCAGAGAGAGAGGGAGAGAGAAAGAGAGAGAGAGAGAGAGAGAGAGAGAGAGAGAGAGAGCGAGCCAGAGAGGAAGACACAGATCTCCGGTACAGTCCCCAAGGTCGTGCTACCCTGATTTATTCCCTTCCACTGGACCCACTTCCTGCTTCCCTTGCACCTAGTAATGCTGTCAAAGTCTAAACTCAGCAGTGCACAAATCCATTTGAATAAGACAGAGCCCTCATGACCCAATTGCTTCCCCAAGACCTATTAGCTGGTAAGCAAGACTTTTAGCACATGAGTTTCAAGGGGACATTTCAAATCTAAACCATAACGCCTCAGCCAGCCTCACACTGTTAAATCCATCTAGATTGACCATGGTAGCTCCTTTGATGCTGGCCCCATTTTCAGAATTTCAGACTCCTATTTCCAGTCGCTCAGTTGACACCTCTCTCTGGATGTTAAGGAAGTGTCTCAAACAACAGGTTCAAGACGCACCCCCTAAGCTTCCCTCCCCAGTCAACCAGTCACAACTCCAGGTGCGGAGTGCTCAGGCCGCAGGTGTTCTGCCAGCTGTCTGGCCTCTCACACAGTGCAGGCTCCACTCTTGGACCACAAATGCTTTGGGCTGTATTTTCACACCACCTCTGGATTATGATCCCTTCCCACTCACGCCATCACTGTCACCCAAGACCCAGCTGCCACCTGCTCCCCGACAGTCTTCTCCTTCCTCTCATGCCCCCTTAGAGCCCACTCTCTAGACAGCAACAACAGTGACCGTTTTAACAGGTGATCAGGGCACATCAGGACTGGTTGATTTCCCAGTGAAGAACCCAAAGGTTCTCTACAAATCCAGCCCCTACCACCTCCTGTCTTAGTCTTTTTAACTACCCTCCTCCTCCTCCTCCTCTTCACCTCCCAACAAGCAGTCTTCCTTGCTCCTGCCGGAACACAGGCCTCGTCTCACTGCTGGGGTTTCCCCAGGTGTAACTTTGGTACCAAAGGGATCGAACTCACAACCTCATGCTTGCTAGCCAAGTGCTTATGCTGCTGCGCTAAATCCCCAGCCTCTGACCACCGTATTTAAAGAGGCGCCCCTCTCCACCTCAACCTTTCTCTCCCTATCTGCTGTTTTATTCTACCAGGGTAGTGCTTAGACTATCTAAAAGTATGTAATAATGATGACATTTAATTAATATTTTTTAGAAAGCTGCACTTTCTGTAAATAGAAACGTGGGGTTTTTTTTGTTCTTCTGTGCTGTATATCCAACCCAGCAACATGCCCATGTGAGGCATGGCTGAGCTGTAGTTTCACAGCCCTAGAGTTAGGTTTTTAAAAATCTATTTTATTAGGGGCTGGGGATTTAGCTCAGCGGCATAAGCGCCTGCCTTGCAAGCAGGCAGTTGTGAGTTCGATCCCTGGTACCGATAAAAACGAAAAAGACAAAAAAAAAGGAAAAACAAAATCTATTTTATTTTTCTTATATCTGCAAGTGCTTAGTTCGGGTAGAAGCTCAGTAATAACTGATGAATGAATGAGGAATTGAATGAATGCACGGATGAAGGAGTACAGGTATATGCCCATTGTGATTTAAGACCCATTTCCATGTCTCTTACTTGTGCCCCAATGATGAGATAAAGGCATTGTAGGCAGCCCCATTCTGGTCTTCAGGTTCACTTCTTCAGCTTCTGCACCAGCGCTAGACAGTTAAGCTCTCCCACCGAGTCATTCTGACCGCCGCCTCCCCACTACCTGTCTTTCTGAGTCATAGAAGAATCTTACAAGTCACTCGTGTGGATTTTAGTGGAACAAGGTCACCATTTTTTCACATTAATTCTGACCACAAGTGTGTTTCCCACGGCTCCCAGTCAGATTTAACTTTTAAAACCCAAACTATATTATGATTTTTTTCCAAAACCACAATCACTGTTATTTCTCCAGGCTTCTGAAATATGAAAACGAAACCCAGAAATTAATACAGAAGAGCCTGTAGCTCAGTGATTCAGGGTGAATTTAGCATGTCAAATGAGTCCCTGGCATCTAACAGCAGTAACAAATGCGAGTCCTCTTACATCTAAATTCCCTGTTTCACTGAAACTCTTCTTTGGAGACCACAGAGGATGACGCTGTATTTACTGTAGCATAGACATCAATGGGGGCCGAGCCTGGCCCCTCTTTAACAATTCACATGTGGTCTTCCTCATATGAGTCATGTGGTCTCTTAGTGTCTCCAGGTTTCCATCTGTGAAAGAGTATGCTGGAAATGAAACTCACTAGTGACGTGAAATATGTAGAACATGTCATGCTCTATGCTTATCACCCTAGTAACCTGTTTTGTTTGATGTTTACTATGTCTGAAGTTATGAGCAGCTATTATGAAGACAAGAGGCATTATGGTAACCATGTACCTGGAGCACCAACCACATTATTATAAATTTGTTATAAATTAACTGACCGTGTCATCATGCTGTTCTTATGCATTGTTTCCCCCCCACCCTACCCCAGTAACCTATTTGTTGTGTCAACTTTTATTCCCCTTGTAAGAGTCAAATGATGCTGTGTTAACCATTGTTCCCTTTATGAGAGATAAATGTTCCTGGAATTGGCAGACCAAGGGCTATGAATTGGCTAACCACCCACTGTGAAATGTCTCTGACTTCAAGCAAAGGGGAACAAAGACCCACCTTGTTTCTGTTTCTCATCGCTATGTACTTTATGATCAATGAGCTAATCGTAATTGAATTATAAAAATCAGTCAAAATTCTAACTCAGTTGCACAGGTTTGCAAAAATTCCATCTGCACTGTGTCGCTGGGCCAGCTAAAATAAAAGTGCTTCTTTTAAAAATGATGTCATCTTGCCC